TCGACAAAAAAAAAGGTGTTAATATCAAAGAAATTCTGGTAGATCTACCTAAGTTAAGTGCATAATACTAGCTTTGTGTTAATATAACATTGCTAGTGGAATGAAATTGAGTAAAAAAGAGACATTTACCCTTTCTATCATTCAATAAATAGCTGACAAGCACGGCAGTAAAACAGAGCAACTCCTATATTGTGCTCTACTTTTCTTCAAGTAGCCTGTTTCAGTCAATTTTGGGGAAGTAGCAAGGATGTTGGGGCGGGTTCATGTATCTAAATGGAGATACGTATTTGAATAACAGATAAATCAGGAATTTACATATGACTGCGATACTAATGTCATAAACCAATCCTAGATAGAAATGCATAAAAAATGATATTCCAGTAACAGGACTGCAATCCTTAATAGTCTCACAGGACTCTCTAGCTGACTCAGGGGCACAGATCACATCTGATGATATGTCAAATCTAAGACATTACAGTTACTCTAGGGAAAACCATATTTCCATTGACATATGCTGTAACCTCATCACTTAGCCTAGAAGCAGAATTCATCCAGACATACACAAATTCATAAAACCTTTTCTGAACTAGCAAATTATTGCCAGCCCTCAGTAATGGTGGGCTGAAAATACTTGGTAACTTGTTGCACTAAAATTAAAGGAACAGCTTGCAATGTGGAGCCCTGCTCGCTGTGCCCTTAAGGCTTCATGGTTCCCTTCTGTTCAAAAGACATCTTTACTGCTCCCACTTTTCTTGTTTTCCAGAATAACAAAAAGTAGCAGTTTCATATTTTTTCTTTTTTTAATGATGTCTAGTAGATGTGTTGTTTTCATTTGTAGCATATGTGAGGTGGCTTTTAGAAGTAATTTATTTTTGGTGGCAAGCTGCTGATGCTTGCACCCATGTTGACTGTTAGTAATTAACACCTTCTGGTCCACTATGGACAATTTCCCACTTACTGCTTTTTAAGGTGTTAAAACTAATCTCCACCAGCTCTATGTCCCATAGCTCCATTTCACTGAGAGGAGGCTTTTCTTCCTGATAGCCAAGGCTTTTCCTTTCCTCAATTAATAACAACACACAACCCAAAGGAGTATCTGGAAGTGTCCTGACAAGATTCTGTTAAGCAGAATCCTCTGCCGACGGGGATACTGAGCTGAGATAATATGTGTTAAAACCTTCTTCTCAGCTCAGACGTGTTACCACGGACAAATACAGGTTTTGGCTGTGAACACAAAAGGCATGAGAGGAAGTTACCTCAAGAGAAAGAACTGAGGAAGTCCTTATTACCTATTAAATTTTTGGCATATGAGCCAGATAAAACGTAATGACAGTCATTGCCTCATAATGCTGCATTAGTGACATCAATTTTATAGCATTGTTCTCATACAAAGAAAACTGCTGAAGTATTATATTCGGACCTCAGCAGTGGTGCATTAATGAGCATTGGACTGGAAGCTCTAGTGGATACGTATTTGTGGGTAAGTGGCTACTGGCATCTATGCATGCCTGAGCGTGGGCATTCCTAACCGTGAAGAACCTCTGCACTCACCTCTTCAGGGAAATAATACGTTCAACTTAAATTTACATACAACAACAAAAAAATTAGAATTAGCATTTAAATATCCAGAATAAAAGAGAGAGTTTTCTAGATAGCAGAGTCAACATTTAACAGAAACTTTAGAGTTCAACTGGCAGAAAAGGGGGTTAGATTTTGCATCAGAAAAATCCCAGTTTGGCCAAATTCTTTCCCTTTTCATGACCACTACTTGAGCAGTATCCACGTTTTAAGGCTCATATGAAAATCTCACAAGAACAGATCTCCTTTAACACTTCTGTCACTGCTTATTTCTGGTCATGAGCACAAAATTGCAATAATGATGAAAAGCCTTGCTCACATGGACTTCACTGCTTAAAACTGTTGAGTCCACTCCATCTAGAGCTACAGGACAAGCTTTTCCTTCTTTTTTCTTTTTTTTTTCCTTTTTTTAACACGGGAATGAAACTTAAAAGTACTCAGAGATTCTGGCACCTGCAGGACTTGTGCATCTCCTATACTGTCCGATCATGTGTGGATTCATTGCAAGGTGGTAGTCCTAATTTTTGCACTCAATAAAGGGCTGTGATAAAATTCTTTTGGAAGAAACCATCTTGATCCACAATATAAAAAGTAGTGGAAGCTGCTGGTGTCTCTGGACTAACTTTAGCTGCTGGAAGCTGGGGATTCACTGCAGAAGGATTTAGTCAGAAAAGCTCAGGAATCAGGAGTTTTAATCATCTGCTAATGACGATTTTCAGAGACTAGTGCAAATTCTAACTTTTCAGTATCACTCAGGATGTTTATACAGTGTGAGAAGATGAACAGTGAGGGAAGGCTAAGCCAAAGGGGATCCACAGTAAACCAAAATTTGGAAGAAGCCTCTAAAGAAAGAGGAGTTCCTTTATGTCCCAGGAAATTATAGTTTTCAGTCCTACAGTGAATTAAGGGTGGTTTTGGCCACCTCAAGTGACGCCTCCTTAGCCAGTACATTTCTGCAAAAACGCCAGAGATTAAGAAAGCAAGCAAAGAAAAAGACAAAGGGATGCAGTTATTTTTGACTACCAGCCAACTTATGATTGTTTGATTTCTGAAGGAGAAAGAGGATAATTTAAAGAATCTTAAATCTTGCATACAGAGTAGGAGAACCACACTTGGAAAAAAAGCCATCTGATGTTCCCAGCACTCAGAACAGAATCGTCCCATATAAAATTAATATCATTATTATGTGATTTCCATCTGTTAACGAAGCCAAACGATTAGAGCTGCTAGAAAAACTGCCTTAGTGGAACAAACACAGATAATGAATTTGAATGAATACACAAGCAAAAAGACAATGTCAGGCTCAATCACTTGGCAATATTAAATGCCGAATAAATGAGTTGGCTGCGTAGTGCTATACCATCCAGCAGGAATGTTATGCTGAGTGCCTGGATCATTGCTTTCATCACTTCTGTAGCCAATTTTGTTCTGGATTTTTTTGGACCAAACTGTCTTTCTTTTTTTGACAGCTCCTTTTCCAGACTATTCCACTGGTACCCTTTATGTTGTGCTCTGGTTGTTCATATGGTCCATATTCAACCGCAGGCCTGTTCAAACACATTCCCCAATCTTCCTCACTTGTCCAGAAAGTATTTTTCACATATTCCTAACACTTTCCTGATTTGTTTCCCAAATCTATCTTACTGGCACAGCAGGTAGCTCTGACAAACTCTCTTTAGCCCACAACTATATTTTTAAACAGAAAATTATTTACAAAAATAAAGTACAGTTTTAATACATATTTTTATATGTGTAAAACAGAGCACTTGATAGCATTTTTGAAATGTCGATATATACCAGGTGTCAAACATTATTCTAAATAAACCCCTGTAATGCACAGCAGTATGCTGGCCCATATATCCTCTCACAAGGTAGAATTTTCAAAAAAGTAAAATCTATTTAAAAGTCATAGAGACTTGGCTTCCACAGTATCTAAATCAGTCCCAAGAAGGACATTTCTGGGACAGAACTTGTGAACATCTAGGCAATCCTACACTCAGAAGAATTATTTTTAAACACAGTTCTCCAGAAAGATGCTACTAATACAAGTTTTAAACCTTTTGCAGAGCAAAGCACGTGGTGATGTTTCCCCCTACACAAACTGAAATACCAAGACAGCGTAACACTGCCTGAGCAATCTCTCCTTATATAAGAGCTGACATTTCCTCCGCAGATTGGCCTTCATCGCTTCTGAAAAATGTCAATGGAGACCAAGGTTTATAAAACTTAAGTTGTACACTTAAGCGCTTTGTGCTGGAGCACAGCGGTATATTTTTGACTGTTCATTTTTTGCATGAAAACGAAATCCTTGCTGTTTTGGAACACTTTATAGTATTGTACCACAAGACTGTACTGTGAGTGAAGAACTTAAGCTTCAGGGTTGCTCCCAAATCATTAAAAGATGTAACATCAAAGAACAAACCAAATATATTTGTTCCTGTAAGAAAATGTGAACCTCTCAGTATGCTGATAAATGTACCGCAGCTTAATACATTTTGTAGTTCTTTTTCTCCATAGAGCCCTTCCCTCCTTATGTCAGGAGAGCCGAGTCAGGAAAGCACATGATATTTTTGCTCTTTTATTTTGCTTCTAATCCACGTGTTCTGTGAAGGTGAATAAATAAAACGACTACAAAAAAAGAGTGGGTGAGAAATGTACTTAAATGCATTCACCTCCCACACTTCATCTAGACATGAAATCTCAAAGGGAGGGATGGGCAGGAAAGGCACAACCCCCCCTATATTATGCATAGACTGTCGAACAGAGGATCATTTGATACACAGTACCAAGGTGTACTATAATGCATTTCTCACTTTGGAGGTCAGATTGGTTTCACAGGCCCTGTCCCAAAGCAGTGGCAGGGCTATAAGGCTGCCCACACAGCACCCCAGAGAGACAGCATCCCAAATTCCCTCCCTTCACCTCCTACTTCCCAACGGCTAAAAATTGGCTGCTATTTTTTTCTAACAGTAGGTGAACTATTGAATTGCCATGATCAGCAACTAGAACTAGCAAGCTCTTCTTTGCTTGCATCTGAGCTCTCCTTAGCCCATGTAAGATGTAAAGCATACTAATATTTCCCAGCAAGGCATGCAGTCAAATCCAAAACAAACCCCGAGTGTGTGGTTGTGGTGCCAGAGAGGCAGGTGTAAGAGGAGCATTCCCATAAGAATAGTTAGGAAGTCAAAAGTGCTGATGTTTCTTTTTGGTTTTAGGCAGCACCATTATCCTCGACATCTGCTGATTCATTCTTTGCTACTGAAGATTTGTAGGGTTTTTTTCAGTTCATCCAATATGTATTGCTAGGTAAAGTAAATATGTAACAAAAGTTAATGGGTTATGTGTCTAAATCACATTGTTTTTTGTTCTGCAAAAGCCTTTATCCTTGCTGTTTTCTACAAAACAGTTTCAGAGGCACTTACCTTGTCTGACAGCTAGCGTTGTTGTGTAGACCAAGAATAGAAGGATATAATTGAGGAAGCTCTGAAAAACAGGTGTGTTGGCATGGAAATCTTCTGACAAATACTTGCTCGTGAGACCAATGCCACAGATAAGGAGGGAGAGTACCTGGCCAAGTGCCACAGACAGCAAGAGATCCCTAAAAGGAATGAGAAAAACACAGACATAAACCACTCGGCCTCTTCGTCAAGGAGGAAATGCTCATCCTCCTCCAGGAATCATGTTCGACAGAGCTACGACATGGGAAGAAACATGATGCTTCAGTCAATGAGGGATCTGCTGGGTGTAGCCGACAACGTTTCCATTATTTCTGCTCTTATCACCAGCTTAAACATTGTCCAAACACACCAGCTTTTATTCACATATTAAGCAACAGCAGATGGTACATCTCTACCATTTAATTTTGCATTTCACATTTCACAAAGGATAAATGATAGTTTAAACCAACCAAAATACAGCACTGCTTCCTTTGAGTATCTTCCCTAACAGAAAGACCCAGGAGTATCATTCAGACAGAGTGGGAATCACAGCTCTTCCCAGACTTAGTAGCCACAGAGAAAAAGCAGAGAAAGGATTTTATTGTGTTTCACCATCAACGTGAATCTACCGTATAACTTCCTTCCCCTCATTTCACTTCCATCTCATCATATAAACTATTCTTTCCATCTACCATGCAAATATATGTCTCTTTTCTTTCATCTTTGTCACAGCTTACTTCCTCTTCTGTTTGGCAGGAGTGGGACATTCCACTTTTTCCCTTCCTGTCTCCTTCTGGTTCTTAAAAATGCATTTTCTGGTTTGGCTTCTTGCTTTAATCTGTTTTCCTTGACTTCGATCTCCAGTCTCCTCTGCATTCCCTTATAACAACGTTCCCCATTCTCTCTCCCCACAGGTGTCCGATAGTTGCTACTTTTGTGCATGTTCTCTGCGCTTCCTATAGTTTTCTCCTCTTTACTTAAGAAACCACTATATCTGAAAGCCCTTTTCCCTTCCAACTATCTTCATCTCTTTTACTCTTCTCGCAGAATTTATTACCTAAGCACACAGCCCAATTCAATCCAAACAATGCTCCTTTTCCAATTTTTCTCACCGGATCTCCTACACCTACACCGACAGCACAGGAATATGTGTATTTTTTAAATTACCCTTAAGAGGTTTCCCAGATTCCCCACGTGTCAGTACTTTCGTGCTGACCAGGCTTGCTCCACAGCTACGCTTTCCCATGCAGAAGCTGAAATGCAAAAGCATTGGCCTGGAAGAGGAGCGAGCGTGACGACTGCAAGGGAGAGCAAAAGGACATCCAACGGGGACATTTAGTCCAAGCCCTGCCGGCTGCTGTCACCAGCCCCCAGAAAAGAGGGGCTGTAGGTCCCTGGGGAACCCACGAAGGAGACGGGAAGGCGGGAGAGGAGCACGCTCTGCGGCGTCTCGTTAGAGCCTGGTACGAGGAAAGAGGATTAGGCAGTCCTAAGGGAGTAGAGGACGGAGGGCAGCACTCAGCTGTAACAATACTTCATGTGTGTTCTCCTCTGCCTGACAGCTAAAAAAAATTACTTCAAGGCTGCTTTGCTTTCCCTGACAGATTTCCCTGACCTCGGCTATGCGTATTCGGCAGCGATGAGCATCTCTGCTCTCGCAACAAGTTTCCTGGTAAACTCAAGTGTCAAATTTGTTTCCCTGTTTCTCATAAACAATCCTCCCACTAATGTGTCTCTGTGTCAGTCATGGCGTGATTCAACCAAACAGACAGCAGAAAGCAGAGGGAGCTGGGTAGCTATATTCAGCTAACATACCTTGCTGACAAACAGCCTGACACAGATAGTAAGAGAACAAACTTTATTGTGCTAAACCCCGTGTTTTGACGGGAGACTGCTGGATAAGTAGCAAGTAAGGCTCCACAACTGCTGCCTCCACTTTCACATTACTCACTCTACTGTGAAACATAACCACGGGAAACAAACATACTCCACAGAGATGACATCTGAGACTACGATGCGAATGCTGCCAAAACTATGGATCCTCAGTTCCTGCCGTTACCTGCTATGTGGTTGACGTGGAATAGGAAATTTGAATAGTGACTGCAATTTAAATCCACATATTAATCTCATAAACTTCATTTAGTTGGATAGTGTTTCCTACGTCCTTCTCCTGCAATGAAGTTTCATACAGGGCTCTCCTCTTGCCTACTGCAATTTTTGTAGTTTTATTTCATTAGTAAATTAACGGTTCGCAAATCTGTATCTCTAAATGTGATGCCTGCTTTACACAGGATGCGGTGGTTATTAGCCGTTCTCTATATCTCAGCTATGCCCATGAGCTAATGTTGTATTACATCCATTGTGGGACTGCATCTGTTCTGGAAAGAAGCATCTTGGATCCTACTTAGATTAACAGAAAGCTCAATATATCCTCACTCATGAAAGGATTTTCCCAGTAATATATTTCTTGCTCCATATGGCAGTTAGCTGTTGGACATCACTAATCATTACATTTTTTCAGACTGGTGGGAAGCTCGATGAGGTCTTATAAAAGGCATAACTTTTTTATCTCAGCTCTCTATATTCAGGTGTGTCACCAGGCCTAACCAGGCAGTACTGACCTTTGTATTAAAAATCCAACCAACAAAAAATGAAAAACACCAGGTAATTTTTCAAGGCTGTGTATGATAACTATAGCCCTCTCTGAAGTACATTTTGATTCCATCATTGCCATTTTGCAATTTATAAAACAGATGTATTTTTTTCATAGTTGATTCTTTGGCAAGTCATTCAACCACATCTACAGGTGGCAGTTTTCCTAAAGAGTTCAAGCAGCTGTCTACAGCCTTATATATATATATATATATAGCCTGTCGTCAGCTTCTATATTTTACATTTCATAAACATACAAACAAGAAGGTAATTTGAGGTAATTCAAATATTATGGTCTTCTTCCTAAGCAGTCATTTAGAATAGCTTTCTATGTCTTCTGTCAATTACAAAATATGTCAAAAATTCCATTCACTATTATATTACTGAAGTCATCAATGAAGACAAAGGGTAATTAGGAGTTCAGTAAAAACAGACATGGACAAGAATCAAGACTATGAACCTGAACACCTCCAAGTCTGTAGATAAAGGTTGGATGTGGATCAGAGTAAAATCTCTGTAGCTTGAAATAGCCTTTAAGTAAAAATTGTCTTTTGAATAACAACAGAATGTAAAAAACAAAGAAAACTACTTTGTGGAAGACCAGTGCAAGCAGCACTGTCAATGCCACCGGCTTTCAAAATACTGACTGCATGAATGATATTGGAATATGTACTGCTTGTCTCGATTTTGCCACACATTTGGTATTTTTAATTATGTAAGAAAACTCATCCTGAAATCAAGATGTTGTGTTCCTCTTTCAGTCAGAACTTAGTTAAACATTTCACAGATGATGGATGACATAGAAAGATACATGTCTTCTTTTATTCTAATCTCATCAGTGCAAAGAGTAGCATAAGTTAGATGTTTAAGCAGAACTAATTCAAATGTCCATGAAGTGCTCAGACTTCAAGCAAAGATGATCCATTTTATACAGTATAGTTATTCCTAAGACTGTTCATGCCCACATTAAACTCTCCTGCCATACCTAAAGGTATGTTGACTACAGGCATGAATGACATGTAGCAACACAGAAGATTTGGTATGCTCCCCTTGTCTCATCACTGTGGGCTGCAACAGACACTAACCACTACCATGGAAAACAGGTGAAATGAACAAATAAAAGAAATCAAAGCACAAGATCAATAAAATGCTGATTTTTACCTTGGGTGAGTGGAAGAGAACAACTCATCTGTCTCCAAGCAGAAAAGTAGAAACAAATCTTAAATTATTTGTTTTAGTTAGGGACAATGTCAGCAGCAACAAAGAATAGTACAATGTTTGGATAACCCTAATAACCAATGTAAGATACCTGACTTGTACAGAAAATGCCTGGTAGCATTATCTGTATTTAATTTCTCCTGCCAACAATGATCTAATAATACAAGAGTCTTAGCTCCTGAGCCTTTAATACCTGGATAAGAATAATGACATACCCATTCTTTTTTAAGAAGAAGAAGCAGCAGCAAGCAAACATTAAAAAGAAGCTTTCAATGGCTGTGGAAAACCTACCACTTCCTTTAGACAGAGCAAAAAGCCACTAACTCACTGCTGTCATCTCCCACACTCATTAGTATCTTTCCTAAATATCACAGTGCTGTTGAAATATGCAACATGGTTCCTATCTGCAACACCTTCCCTGTTGGTTTTCATACCTTCCACCACTCAAAGACTGGCAAAAAGGATGATTTCCTCCCTAAGCCCTTAGTCTATCATGCTGGCTTCAGTAGGACGTTATTCACTAAGGAAGCAACATTCATTCCTACCTTGAAGAAAAGCTGTATGGTTTGAGGGCCCTCAAACAGAACACCAAGAAGAGTCTCTACAAAAAGCTTTATAAAAGTGAGGTTTTCTGCCTGTCAGGGTCCAATTTCTCTTTAGTTGAGTGCTATTCTATTTCTCTACTTGTGTTCTATGTAAATCAAAACAAAGCAATTCTTAAAAAATCCCATTTTGCCTCACTAAGATCAACAGCATCTTCTCAAGCCGAATTAAAACAGGTGAAGATCTTCAGCTTGTCTCTAAACTTTGATCTCATGAACACAGAGAATCATAGAGTCGTAGAATCACTTAGGTTGGAAAACATCTTTAAGATCATCAAGTCCAACTGTTAACCTAACACTGCCAAGTCCACCACTAAACCATGTCGCTAAGCACCACATCTACCCATCTTTTAAATACCTCCAGGGATAGTCAGTCAACCAATTCCCTGGGCAGCCTGTTCCAATGCTTGACAACCCTTTCAGGGAAGAAATTTTTCCTAATATCCAATCTAAACCTCCCCTGGCACAACTTGAGACTATTTCTTCTCATCCTATCGATAGCCATTCACTAATACAGAGCAAATAGAAGACATTCTTCCCCTGTAAACCAGCAATTTAGGGCCTGCTCCTTGATTTTTTTTGCTTGAATTAAAATCCTTCATTGGAACCAATCAAATTCATTTCACTGCAGCCACGCTTGCTAGTTAATCTGTCCAATGCCTCCTATGGAGTCAGATGGGTATTGTGAA